AAAGAAAGAGAGAGAGAGAGAGAGAGAGAGAGAGAGAGTTGACCAGGGGAAATGGCCCGAGGGAGTGAAGCGCCAGGGTTGGACCCAGGGCCTCCTGGACCTCCGGCTTACTCATCCGTGCTCCTCCGTCACGGCAGCATCTCCGTCTCCGTGGTGTCTTGTCTCTTTTCCCGATTCGGCTTTCGCTATTCAGCCTTCGTGTGAACTTCCCTCTACGTGACTGAATTTCGCCTACATGAACCCGTCGTGAGAGATCGTGTGATTCTAATAATGGGCTTCAAGGGAGTGATCTCGTCGCTTGTCTTCGCCGTCTCCCTCTTTGTCGGTGAGTGTTCTTCGGATTTCATCGCGCTCGTCCGGCACATGTCGATAATTGTGCGTGAATGCCATGTGTTGCCGACACGGGAAGATGCAGTTACGAATCACACGAAACGTTAACACCTCAAACGGTTTTTTTTTTGGGCACGGAGAAATGCCTGTATCGAATCCTCGACAAGATTGCTCGAGCGGTGCTGCATTTGCGCCGTTATATCTAAAACTTGGTACCAATTTTTCTCCGGTCGCACTGCTGAAAATTCGCGGTTGAAGCCACGCTGAAACCTTGAGTATTCTCGCGTTGTTTCGTTTTAACATTTTTGGGCATTGCTTTTCAGCAATAAAAATGCTTCATTGTTAAAAAGTACACTAAAATCTTCCGATTGCACGAAACCTGACCCTTGGGAGCATCAAGGAATCACATAAAGCTTGATTTCAGCTGGGGTACGTTGATGGTTTCGACTTTATTGTCGACTGTCGATGAAAATATCCAAAAAGAAAGGATTTAACTGAGCGAAAATGTTTACGTTTTATCTTAGAGGCTGAAAAGTTCTTCATTACTTACTTTACATTTTTCAATTACAAACCTACATGACTGGACCACTAGCGCACTGGGACAAAGTCTCAAAGGTTCCATTTGAGAAATCAAGCGATTTTCGATCTGTCATCTACAGAAGTCCCATGCGGAACAAGTCATAATTTGCCATTATCCAACTGGAAAAGCCTCTCATCCCTAACTGTACCGACTGGAAACGGCCCTGAACTCCATCTCGATTCAATTGGAATTTCCGCCTTGTGATTCCCAACTGGTTGGTTACTCAATCTGTAATGTAAGGTTACCCCCGTCGACCACAGAGGTGAACGGTTCTTAACATTGCGGCTATATTCAGTTGCCAGCTAGATTTTTCTCGCGAAAATCGAAGGAAGCGACAGGAAGCAGTTCAACATGAAGAACTGTGCACGGGCGGTTTTCCATTTTGACCCTTTACTCCCAGCTCGTGCTCGGGAAATGTGTTTTAACCGTCACGCCGGCACGTTATCATTGAAAGTAATCGGATATAATTAGTTGTAGATATACCCACGAGAGTCCAGTCTGAAACAGGAGGAATTTCAACTGCTTCCGCAACTTTTATTTTCCTGCCGCAATGTAGGGCCAACGCAACTGCATCTGGGCTTGGGGATCGCGCGGTCTTGGAAGTAGATTCTCAGGTCCTTCGGAGACAATAGAGCGACATTCATCCATTATATTCATCATGTTGCTCTGGTAGTTGATATTCTACAGCCTTGGGAGAACCTTGAGCACGAATCAGGCTGATCCACAACTTATAGTTGTGATTCGACCATGGAACTCGTCAGAGAGCTAAGACCGCCTCTGTATGCTGCAGAATGCAACCTTAAAAAAAAATGCATTCCCTTGTTGGACATGATCAGATCCTTTGCGTCTTTGAACCTGATATAACGAGGTAAGACAGGAAAGGCATGCTTTCCTGGTCGTAACACGACTGGCCCGAGTCAGGGAAATAATTAAAATGCCCCCTTTCGAAAGCACTAAAGTAGGGCCCGAGGTAAAGGGATAAATGCATATCCGAGCCAGGAAGGGAAGAATTTTCCCCATCGACAATGACGAGTTCATTGAAGAAAAAGCCAGCAAGAGCTCCTTGTGGATTTCTCACGCTCCGCGGGTTCCCTTCAATGGATATTTTTCTTCTCACCCAATTGGATTATGGGCTCAGCCGTGGTTACACCTGCAGATATTGTGTCTAAGAACTTCATTCTTGGAGATTCCAAAGCTTCGACATGAGTTCTTCTACTGTATTTTTTCTATGATGGATGCGCATGTTGTTCCTATTTCCCTTCTGTGTCCATCATCTCTGCATTTCTCCGGTCCAGTCATAAACCTCGCTCCTCCTCGAGGGTCCTTTGTGCTCGCCTGCTTTGTTCATGCCAAGGCGAGGAAATTACTCTATTACCTCTTATTTCCGTGTTATTGCATGGTCTATGGCAGTGCCCATTCTATGGAGAGAGCGAGGTTGCGCACAGACTAATGAAGCCAGCCCAAACAATACGAGTCTAATTAAAAGACGGGAGAAATCGCCGGTTCATTCCTAACACAAAAGGAAGAGACCTCACGGTTGCACAATCATTCTCCGCCCACTCCCGAATCTCCACGCCTTATTAGAGGAAAGAAACATCCATTTAAATTGACCTCTCCATGAATGTATAAGCCGAGAAGATCTGAAAGTGCCTCAGAAAAATCTCGTATTCCCCTCTTCCGGAGAGGGGGAGGGGCAGAAGATTTATTTTACTGCCGGGTATGGATCGTAAATACTTGGAAAATGTCAGACAGGACGCGGGTTTCCGGATGAGTATTTTTGTGTGCTTCGTTCCACTTCTGAAATGGAGCATTTCTCTCCAAATAACATGATCGATACAAGTCGTCATGAACGGGATTCCATTGCGGGTTTCGAAAGCCAAGTCTCGGTTCATGGCACAAAGACGACTCATTCTATTACCGCCATCCGAGCGAATCCGGGAACAAAGGGCGCCTTCATGATGATTTCTGTTTATTTTGGATGAAATCCTGTGCACGTGAGGATGGACGTATGGAAGATGCCAATAATGGATGGATGGTCGACCCCGTGGAGGGCATTGGTATTCCGGAGGAGTGGATCCAGGCTGAACTTGCAATCAAAAGGCATCATTTATCATGCCAAGCAATTCATCGCCTTCCCTGGCTCCCATGGTACGGGAGAGAATCTAGTCCAAGTCTCTTCTCATTACCATCTTCATCCCCTCTTCTTTCATACGACCACCACGAGTACCACCACTAGTATCATACCCCGTGTCCTCGATAGGCGCTTGGTCATCGACGCCGAAGGGAACAAGTTTCCCTGTCCTCATATATCTCCTTCCAGTGTGGGCCAGTAGGTCTCTCGAAAGGGAAACAATGTCGACTCATATGCATTGCGCATCTTCGGAATCCGGCCTCCGAAACCGCTCTTGGGGCTCATATATCACTATAATAACGTGGCGTATGTCCTCGAATACACTATTCTTCCTTGCACCAGGCGTTTTGGCATACAGCGATCCATCAATGCTGTAGAGCATCTGCAGAATATAGACGAAAAAAAGAAATAAAGAAAAGGGAGAGAGACCCCTATATTCTTTTCCCTTTATGAAACGTCAAAGGAGCGTTGACAGACCCTCTGGACCCATTCCAACACCAGCAGCAGCCGGAAAGGGAGCCATTTACAAAAGGAGAACGCCTGGAAATGATGTCTAAATGAGCTTAAAGGATGGACCTCTTCCACTTCATTACAGACCACATGTGGTCCTGGATTCCCTCCGTCCTCCCCCCTCTTAAGGTTCAATACAATTCCATCCCCAAATGTTTTTCAATATCAATGGAACCAAATCGGATTCGCCCAGACATAAAAGGGGATTCCCTAAGTACGGGAAGGAAAAATTTCTGTTGTGTATTCTTTCATTTTTTGGGATAGCCCGAGGCCACGATGTCCATGTCCCCCCTGTTATATATGGGACTGCATGGAGCGGTCAGCGGAAGAGAGAGAAGTGCTTCTTCTCCCTCTCTTTCGCTAGAGCTGTGCCTGGGTCAGACACTCGCCGCCGGCACTCCTACTCTCTTTTCTCATGGTAATTTCCAATGACCCAAACTTCCAGGCTGCCTCGGGAGTCCAGTTTACGGCTCATACTTCGTGTTTCTTGCATTTCTTCTGAAGACTTCATTTTATTGAAGGGCAGCGGCTCTTTTCTTACCCTGCTGTGTTTGCATGTGTATTGCCAAGTAGCGTAATGAGGGACACGAGTTTTACCACCTTGGAGGCCCTCAATAAAATGGCTGGGGGCCTATAGTGGAAAGAGCAGAGAAAATTGGGGCTATAATATCCGAGGCCGATGCCCATTTCCTGGCACGTATTCGGGAGCCCTATGCAGCGACCTGTTGCCATAACGGTGGAAGATGGAATATAATGAACATCGATGAAACAGGGTTATAATAATTAGACTGTCGTGAGGAAGTGCGTTGCCCCTTCCCACACCTGGTTCGTTTCTCAGACCCCCGAAGAGTCACCTTCCCACCCATTTCAATTATCAAACGATTATTGAATCTCTCCCAGGGGTCAGAGACTTCAATGCTAGGATCCGGTGCATTGAGTGGGGACTTCAATGCCGGTATGTGTCGAGTGTCGCATCGTTCAGAATTCCTATAGGTGAGGGTAACAAGCTCAAGAATGTATCCTGTCAGCAGGAGCTATTGATGAGTGAGGAAGTGTTTGCGTCAGCCACTTGAATGCCGATGAACAGCTGCAAGGCCAATGGCACGAATTCCATGCTGGGCGTGGGAGATTCTAGCATTTTTATGCCAAAGGATTCTACCTAACACGCCATATGAATATTAAAAGTCCTGTTGCAGCGTCTATGCAAATCCTCACTCCTCCTCAGTCACGCGCATCTGTGATTTCCGTTATTTTACTCGATAAAGGATCTCTTTGTGCAGAAGAAACCAGGCTCCATATGGGCCCCCGTATACCTCTTGAGCAGGAAATGAGCGATTGTTCCATACGGCTAAGCCCACGTCTTCGAGATCCCTTCCCTAATGAGGCATCGATACAACCCAGATAGAGCTCCCCCTCGCTATTTCTGGGACCAGGATCGTGTTATCGGGCATGTCTGGGGCGACGTTGTTTGTCGTGAAGGGAGGTGTCCTGGGGATGATAGGGTCCCCCATCCCCTCGCACGATTCTTCCATCCCTCGAGCTGTGCCAGTGAATCAGCAAGATTCGAGAGGAGAAAAGAGAGAAGGGACTGCACGAAGCACCTGTTGGCGTCTCCGATTCGACATCCTTGTTAGTCTCTCGTTGATTGAAAGAAGGAGCCTTGTAATTATGACCATGATTCGTGTGATTCCTTCCATTCTCTGGCGCCAACTCCCCAACAGAAATCGAGTCTCATCAGGGTGGATGACAGTTGACACCCTTCCTTCCGTCCCTTCTCCCCCATCTGCTCCGATCCTATCGTCACTGGTCTGACGACACGACATTCTGGTTTCACAATCTTGACATCGGTGGTCATAAAAAAGAAACAGTGGAATCGGAGACCTGTTGAACTCACATGCACATAATGAGTGGGAATGCTCGCGGTGCAAAAGACACGGGCGTCGGAAAAGTAATTACACACGCCAGTATTATAATGTCGAGATATGGCTGTTGCTTGCTTGCGAAAGGTTAATGGAGACTTCGCCAGAGATGGAGTCGAGAAATCTTCATGAAAGCATTCCGCATTCCCCTTTGCATGAGCACCTGATAAGCCGAGGCTTTGAGGTTGAGCAACCTAACCGGTGATTTTCGCCGATGACCTCCGTGAGAAGTGCATCACATGCATTTCCGAGAGAGGCTCTCCATGCAAATGAGGGAAGGGGATGTTGCGTGAAAGGGTGAATTGACCCTCGATATAACCCAGGATTTTTCTACCTTCAGGCTCCTTGGGTAGCCATGCAGAAACATCCCTTCGATACTCCCAGTAAGAGTGGACATCCCACATTCATTGCCCAGATGCACAAATGCAGTGTGGACTGTCGGGTAATATATGTTTCTGACTACAGAGAGGGGGGAAGCTGTGAAGTCAACGTTTAGGCTTCTCGGCTTTCAAAAGATTCGAGTCATAACTCAGGGGGGCTTTGAAACTGGAAGCTTTTAGCATCGGCCAAAAAGGTAGGGCCCATGCCGGGAGCATTGAAAGGAAGTCAAGAAAAATGGCCTGTGTTGTCTCCTCCCTATACGGTCGGACGGTAGGTGGAGAAAAAAGGAAAAAGTGAAACCACGTGGAAAGGTATGAACCGGGGTAACCCGTTCTTTTAAGATCTGTCCTTGTTGACTTCCATGCTCCATCATCATCCATCTTGAATGAATCTGGGTCCTTAAATCATATTTTACGCGCAAAGGCTCTTCTACGGTACGCAGAACCTGTCTCAACGACCGAACGCCTAACATATTGATGGTTTCTTGGGTCTCCCGAAATCGGAAATCAATCCTTCACGGCGACGTCTTCGTGCGAAGAATTCGAGAAGGACATCTAACAGATGGTTGGGAAAGACTCGAATCGACTCACGAAAGCAACGAAGCGCGTTGACCTCATCCCAAATAAACTCCCTCCTTTCCGTAAAAGTGTGAATGTCGGTGAGAAGGGGCGCTGAGTCAGGGCATCGGCTTGACCGAGATAATGGGACGAGCCAGGGTCTGGCATTTTTCATTCGGGTTTTAAAAAGAGGGGGAACCCTGGATAAAGAGCCGCGGTTTGGGTTTCTCAGAGGATACTGAGAGTCTTGGGGTGGTCCTTCAAGGGTCAAGGCAACCAGCCAGGCGAATAATTGCTTGCTATCTTCTCCCTTTTCTCCCCCAGGTTCCACGTTTGGAAACGAGGTGAAAGATGTGGAAAACGGCGCTGGCGCTGTGCTCGAATGCAGATTCAATCCTGTCCTTCTGTCTCGGGATACGGCCTTCTATTGGATTCGAACTAACAAGCGCGACAAGGACAACGTCGCCATTGGGGAACGACCGCTAGAAGATGGATATGAGTAAGTGCAAGACAAGAAAATAACAGCCAATTGACATTTTGACGGTTTCTCCCAGCGGCTAAGTGTGTGACATGTCACGGGGAAGAAGATTTTTTCTTTTTACTTCTTTATGCTCTGTAGAGGAGGATCAAAGTTCAGAAGAAGAAAAAAAAAAGGTAGAGACGTCATATAGGACTGGGGGAGAAAGGCCCAGGGATGAGCTATGGCGACCTGGCATTGTTTTTGTCTCTCTTGTAATGAGTTGGGCTAATTCCCCCTTCATGTTTTTTACATGGATATTGAGAAGGGGAGAGGAAATAATTGGGGGGGCCATAATTTGCCTGGAACGGAGATGAAGGGAAAGAAAGAAGAGCAAAAGCACGTAAGCAACCGTCGATGCTAGAAAATTTTCGAGGTGAACCTTTTCCATTTCAACGGCTTCCATAATTTTATGGGACAGAGACTAGAAAAATGCAGCTGCCTCGCTGGCGAACGTTTACAGTCGACCGGGAATTGAGCGTATGCTTGGTATGGCAAAACCCTGCTTGGAATGTCGAGGCCTCGTTTTTCCGAATCAATAGATAGAATGAAGAGTATTCTCAAGTCTCTCAACATAACGGGGTTCGTGGAAGTCTTCAGCTAGGGATCATAGCAGCCCGCCCTCCTGCGATGCTGAAAAAGTTCACTGCTCATTTGTTTCTGTTATTGAAGCAAATTGAGGGCAGAGCTCTCACGTGGGGTCTCGTTTTGGGTTCTGTTGAGTCGAATTTCAACGGTTTTCTCCTGTCAGTTTCTCAAATCGTCTTTGTGGCGTTCTCATTCCCATTGAGTGGCACTGGTGGCATGGGAAAGCTTTGTGTTCCTCTTCACTTAGCCATAATTACCCATAATCAGTGATGCTTCTAATCACCTGTCATAAGTCCGAGGTTTATTGCTTTCTTCCAGCGTGGATTTCAGGCCGTCAGAAGGAAGATACGACCTCTACATTAAGGGGGCAACCTACGGAAGAGACAATGGGGAATTCGAATGCAAACTGAAGGAAGTGGGAACGGGAGACGAGCTGCATACTAAGAGGTTCCAGTTGACGGTCTTGTTACCACCCGGGGTGCCGAAGGTGTCACCGACAGCACCCGTGGCCGTGGAAGGAAGGACCATTGACCTGGAATGCTCCAGTTCGGGCGGAAGTCCCGATCCACAAATCAAGTAAGCTCTTCTTTTGACTTTCCAGATCTCTCCATTGTATTTGAGCTTGGTTTCCCAGGCAGGTCATCTGAATATAGGTCATCCTCTTTCCTCATGCTTTGTATGAATGGTTCTCGCTTGAGCTGATGGAAATGGAAGGACAAGGCTCGGGACAAGTACGAACGGTGCTGTCACTCGAAAAAGACTCGTTTCTTCCATTCATAGTGGCACAACCTTATCAAAAGATCTATTGGCCGGTGTGACTGGTCTAGACTTTCACGTGTGGTAAACTCTTCATGTCTCTTAGTCAGAGACCCACTTTAATGCTCGGATTTCTGAAGTAATTAGACTGCCATATAGATGGGGATCACAGGGGTCATGACATGTTGCATCAGAGGGTATATTGAAGCCGTCAATCTCTGAGGCATGAGTGACGTTAAGAAGCCGGATGCCAATTTCATTTCCTTTCCAGACTCCCCTCCAAAGCCGCTTAGACAACTATTACCACATGGTCTCTTTCTCCCGAAAATCCAGTGACAGAAAAGAGATGGGCAATTTTCGGGGTGTTTGCCCGCCAGGCGAGTCCCCCAAATTCCAATGCATTGAAGATACAGGGGTGGAAAAGAGAAGAAAAAGGACCCTTTTCTGCCTCAGCTTCTCCCCCTCGGGGCAAGGAGAAGAAAAATGACGGAAAAATCCGCGGTGATGAGGCCAGTTTACATGCCGTCTCTTCGGATGGACCCATGCGTCACTGGTGAAACTGACACATCCCCACACACACCTAGGGAGGAAGAAAGAACCGGTTCCTGTAGAAGGTCGATTTAAATGCATTCACGCATGGGGGTTTACATACGCATTTTGAGGTCCACCCACCCGGACAGGGTCAAAAGGACTTTTCTGTCATCCTCACACCGACGCCCACAAGACCTCAGAGGATCCTTTTTCCACGTTTCATTGACCCAGAAGAATCCGTTGTACAGTCTGCACATGCAGATGAGACCGAGTGTCCAAAGAGCCACAGGCTATTTGAAGGCATGCCGACGCTTTCATGCGTTCCAATCAAAGAATGGGGTTTCCACGACAGAACCAAAGTGGACCGAAATGCCATTGTTCGTTTGTTCTTTGATCGTAGGTGGTATCGAGAGGGCAGTGATGAACCTTTGGAGAGTGTGCTCATTCCCGGAGGAGGGAAAGACCAGGAAACGAGGGGAATTTTGAGGGTTGTACCCAAGAAAGAGGACGATGGAGGGAAATTCACTTGTATCGTCTGGAATCGGGCTCTTCCTCAGGGCCACACCCTCTCCTCTTCACTCAAACTCACTGTCAACTGTAAGTCTGTGTTCCGTGTTCCTGCTTTTTACTTATTCTCTCGCTTTCTCGCTTGGGATAGAAGCATCAAATACTACAATAAAATTGCATCGCGAGGTATGATTCTTCGCAGATTTTCCCCGAGTGACCGTGGGTCCTGAGAACCCAGTCCTGGTGGAAGAAGGGGGTCGGGCTTTGTTTTCCTGCAGTGTTGATGCTCGGCCTCCTCCGAATTCTGTTACCTGGACCCGACACGGGAAATTCCTCGCCACGGGTTACACGTTTACCCTGGACCGAGTGAGTCTGCCAGACTCCGGTGCTTACGTGTGCCAGGCCGACAACGGACTCGGCCAGCTTGGTCAGGCTTCCATCGACCTGGAACTCCTTCACGGACCCATGGTCTCGACCGAGGGCAGGCGGGAAGCCGGAGAAGGCGAAGATGTCCAGCTCACCTGTCAAGTGCAGAGCAATCCCCCTCCATCCCGAGTGGATTGGATCAAGGTCGGCGACTCTGGATTCCGGAGATCAGGTCACAGGTTGACCTTGCCTCAGGTCACGGCCCAGGATGCCGGTGTCTACGTTTGCAAGGCCGTCGTGGAAATGGAGATCTCAGGTCTGAGAGAACCAAAACGACGAGAGGGAAACGGGACAGTAGAATTGGTCATCAGGCATGCCCCGGGGTCATCCGAGGTCAAGGTTGCTGGAGCGGCCGTAGTGGGCGAGCCATTGACCTTGGAGTGTGGAAGTGACCCGCCGGGATGGCCCATCCCGGTCTATCGATGGTGGAAGGGAGAAGACTACGACCGAGCCCTACCCTCCGCCTCCTCGCGATTCGTCGTCCCTTCTATCGACATGAATGCTCAGGGGTTGTATCATTGCCAAGCAGAGAATGCCCTCGGCCTGGGATCCCCTGGTTCAATGATGGTGGAGGTGAATCAGAGACCTCGGGTCATCAAGTCCCCTCCGCCCAGCACTGTGAGGAAGGTCGGGGATCCCGAGTTCAGCGTTTCCTGCACGGCACAGGTGAGCCCAACCACATCCTTGTCCTTCCCATTCTTGACGTCCCTCCCCCCTCCTCCGCGTTCCTCACTTTATAAATGATACTAATATGTATGAGGTGAGTGAATCACGAACCTCAACGAAAACAAAATTAGAAAAATCTCGCAATGAAGGTTTCATTTATATCTTGAAATTAGAATCTTGTCTCTGACAGGATTCAAATCAATTGAGAGGTATTAAGCCTGTGCCATCGTGAAAATGAATCAAGTTACATCTCCCATCACATGACTATCAGACTTCTTACATATTTTTGCTAGGATGAAATTTCAAACTATAAAGTGATTTATGATATTATTTGCCGACACGATCGAAATCAATCTCCTATGTAATTTAAATCACTCCCACTCCTCAACCGACGTTCCATTGATATGCTCACATGTGCCATCTGCCAGTATGACATAATGGTGTTCTTTGTGTAGGGGAAGCCAAAGCCTGCGGTGGAATGGCTGAAAGACGGTGATCAGGTCGGCCTCGAATTCGAAGTGAGGAACGAGGAAGAAGAGATCGAAGGAGGACGAGGTATCTATCGAGTGAAGAGCACTTTGTCCTTGCATCGAGCCCTGGGACCAGAGGACCGAGGACGGTATACGTGCCGATTCACGAGTCCCATCGGCGAGGACGAGTCATCCCTCCTTCTTCGAATCCAACGTGAGTCTCTCGCTCACTCTGATCATCATTATCATCGGCATCACGTGGGCGGGGAGAGACGTGAAGATCAAAACAATCCCGCTCTCTGGTCAACGGGGTCACTTTCCTGCGATTACCACGGAATCTCTGGAATCTCTCTCTCCCCCCGTCCCCATGGGGAAAGGGGGAGGATTGTCCCGTATCGGTTACACTATCCCAGGGGGGTTTCATGCGGATACGAGATTCCTCGCGTTGTGTATGGGGGGGATGGATCGGCATCAGCCCCATGAAAGGGAGAGCTCGTCTTTTCATACCTGAAAATGATGGCCTCCCTCCTGTCACGCCCTCGAATAATGCAGGCGACAACGTTTGCCTCTCCAACAGACGTTGGCCTGGTCTTTTACAAAGAGAGAACGATCGACGTAAAAAAGAGACCATGCAGCATGATCGCGATCGTGACTGGGCCCAGCAAAGTTATTTTTTGCACCGAAATCGAAAGGGGTGTTTTTTAAAGGGCGAAGAGAGCGGATCGAATTGTAGAGGGAAAAGAAATGATAGAGGGGAGAGAAGAAAAATCGCTGTATGGGGTATCTATTGTATGGAGAAAGATGAATCGGTTGGGAGGAAGGCTCAAGAGGGATCATTGTCGAGAGAACCAAGGTCAGAGCCAAAGCAACGATGACAGAATCATTCATTCCATAAACAAGGCCAGCCTTCTCCTTTCTACACAATCCCTATACCCACCAGCACTTTTCCATTAATCATATAGTTCGGTGACATGTGTTTACTACCTTCCTGACTAACGATCCCAGATCCCAGGACCGGATGGATATCAAAGCAAAATCTTTTCATCTCTATTCTGTCGACAGATCTGCCGATTGCCGTGGAGAGTCGTAGGGATCTGAAAGCGGCGGCGGATTTGGGCTCGGATGCGGTGCTCACGTGCAAGGTCAGGGCCTTCCCCCGCCCCACCTTCTCATGGAGGTCGGGGACGACCTTGAACCCGTCACCCGGAGGGAAGTACGAAACCAACAGCAGCACTATTCAAGGAGACCTGCACATCGGAGTCTTGCAAATAAAGGGCGTCACCAACAACGACTATGGGGTGTATACGTGCGAAGCGAGGAACGAACTGGGGTCCACGGAATCGGTGGTGTCACTGGGCGCACGGGGACCCCCAGAATCACCCGAAGAACTCGAGGCTCAGGCCATCGGACCCAACTGGGTCTTGCTGGGGTGGATGGAAGGCTTCGATGGAGGCTTCCCGGATACCCTCTATCACGTGTCTGCGTCCAAGAGGACCAGGGGAGAGAAGGACCGGCCTCTCATGTTCGACTGCATCGACAACAATCCCTGCAACATCACGGGACTCGAGGAACAGTCCACGTATGAATTCCAAGTGAAAGCCATCAATCGGAAGGGTGAAAGCGGGTTATCGTCTACAGCCGTCCTATCCACGGCCCTTCACGCATCGGGAATCCCCCAACCGGAACAAGTATTCTACGGAGAGGAGGCCAAGATTATCCGTTTCTCTGTCATTTCTGCCTCCCTTCAACTCCTGGGAATCGCGGAATTAGAAGATTTGGGTGGGAATTGGATCCCCATTTCTGCCAGCCCGTTCATCATCGACTCCAACATCGTGGAGGTTCCCGTGGGTGCAGAGGAAGCAGGAATTCTTCGCACCGTGAGGGTGAAAACTTGCCTCCGTCAACATCCGGACATCTGCTCTGACGGGGTCCAGGCTACACGAGGTGAGATTTCGTCTTATTTTCGCTCTTGACCAAGCTCTTACTCATAAGCATGAGATGATAATAAAAATACCCGAACGGTTGCAGTGCGAAGCCTGTCGGGTCCATTGGTGGCTCCGTGGAGCTTCCCGCTGGAATACCTGGTGACAGTGGTGGTCTGCAGTGTGGGCTTCTTCGTCGCCCTGGCTCTTCTCGCTTACTGCTGCTGCCGGAAGAACAGCAAGGAAAACGACAAGGGATTCGAAGCCAACGCTTCTCTGTGAGTGCTTTTTTCATCTCACCCGGGGAAGGAGGAGGAAGGAAGAGGAAAAGAAATAATTGGAAGGGAGAACATTTCGTGGTCGTTCCATTAACGGAGGTGTTCCATAAATCACGTCGGAATTGAATCCTGGGGCCCGGCCCCTTGACGACCCGAGAGTCGAGTCCACTCTCTCTCCCTCTCCCTCTTTCTTTCCTTCTTTCCTTCGATCTTCCCTTCGCGTGCGTGTGTGTGACTGCTGGAAGGCAACGGCACGCCTGATTTCCCTTCTATCCAATTTCCAATCCCGTTTCTTTCTTAATGGACTGGGTACGCGGCTCTTCCTGACATTTATGTCTTTCCGCTTCGCCTTGGACACCATTAGAATGCGAAGAGGCCTGTTGTCTCTTCCTCGCGTCGACGTGGCATGCAGAAAAGAAAAAGAAAGAGCGTTAGGTGGAGATCACGGAGAAAGATAGGGCTCAAACAGAGGGAAGCTGCGTCGCATAATTAGAACGTGGAGAAAATATCCCGGCGCTTTTCGTGAATGGTCTCAAGATGAAGTAGGTTGGTAAGAGGAAAAGAGTGAAAGTGAGGAGAGCGAGAGAGTGATTTTGATTGATTGATATCCCTGGCTCGGTGGTTTTTTTTTCCCTTCATCCATGGGGGGTACATCATGCTCGGACTGGATTTCATCCACGCCTTGCTCACGCAATGAGGGATTAAAAAAAAAAAAGGAAGCGGGTTATTACAGCGACGTGAAGATGGTTTCTCTTTTCTCCCTTGCAGGGTGAGGCCGAGCCTGGTGACAGGACAGCCCCCTCCCCCGTATTATGCAAATGGTGAGCCAGGGTACGGAACGGCAAATGGCATCTATGGGTCTGCTCCCAGATACGGCGTCGCCGACGGTGAGAACAGCGAACTTTAATTACGGGAATTTAAAAAAAAATTCGCTCTAGGGCGGATTGTAAGTGGTATTTCAGGTTTTTCCCGTTGTCCCTGTATTACTCTGTCACAAGATGACCGTCCACTCAGAATGGCCCATTCTAGATCTCGGGAAAAGCCTACTATTCCATTTACAATCCAGATTACAGTAAGAAAAAAATACCGTAATAATAATAAAATATAAATAAATGAAAATTAAAATGAAAATCAAATAACATTTCTAAAGGCTGCAACTTGCTAATAAGACAACTTAAATCCTAGAAATGACCTCAGTCTTGAAGATTTTCCCTAACATTTGTTTTGTTGCGACTCAGGAGGTGGGACCAACGGAGGAGGATCGGTGAATTCTCAGGAATCCTTGTGGAAACCGCCGTCGAGCAGCGTCGAGGAGTCTTCTTCCTCGGCCAAAGGGTTCTATCCTTACGCAACCCAGTGCCACAACCCCGTGCCTCACCTCAGTGCCCCAACCACAACCACCGACTATTCCTATTATCACAAGGAAGACGCCTCCTTCTATTCAAGAGGTGAGTAAATGAGCTTACAATGCGGTGCCTCGTGCTTTTCCGTCGATCTTTGTCGATTTCCATGGTTCACCCAACCATTTTTAAATATTATTTTCCAGGAGAGGATCCTTATGGAATGGGAGTCCCCGATTATTTCATACAAAGCCCTAATTCTCGAGTGTTCAACGAATCCGTGGACAGTACAAGTGTTGGAAGGACCAAGAGGGTCATCCACGAGGTCATCGTTTGATCCCCTCGTGCTCTCACCTGACATTTACGCGTCAGCGTGTGTGATCTCAGCTCATTTTTTATATATTTTTAATTCCCTCGATTCCTCTCTTCGATTGTGATACGAGGCTCAACTGGACTTCCTATAAAAGACTGCGATCGCGTAGCGTCGTCACCGCCTTCGCCTGTGATAGCCCTTGTTGCGTCTCTTTCTTCGAGAAGAGACCGTGATTGTGATATACCCCTCCTCAGTTCCTTACACGATTGTACATAGAAAGATGATTTCCCTCCCCCCTCTCATGTCCTCTGGGTTTTTACATCGCATACAAAATTTCAAGCCGCGATACTGATGCAGTTCTTTCTGATTTGGTTCAAATGTTTCATTCGACCTGTAAATTGTGATGACCAGAGACTGCAACTTGGAATTTGGAAGTAAACGAGAAATTTGATACTCCATGCGTTTTCCAATTTACTGACGGCATTCGCCCTTCAGCATCTGCTTGAGACCGTGTCTCGGATACGAAAGTGCGATGAATTGCAGGCCGAGAGAAGACTCAAGTCAACGGCCGTTTCAGGTCAACGCTGGTGCAATGCTCATGCCACGTAACGCTTATTTCGCAAATGCGTGGTGATGTCATCGATGATAATTGGTTCCTTGCCCTTAGTCGTATGGAAAGCCAAGGACACTGCTTGTAGCGAATATATTTCCCCCCGAAGGACTTCTATGATGGGCACTGGAATCTCTCGTGAAACATGGTTGGAAGCGTGAACGAGACCACCGACTGCTTTCAGATTGATTTCGTTCCCGTCTCAATTTTGGAGCAATAGGTCAGGGGAGTAGTGAATGCAATCGAAGAGCATCGAATACAAAACCACAATGGACAGGCGACCTACCTCCACGGTCGATCGGCACGAAAAGCCACCGATGGTTTTTTTTTTTTCGTCTTGCATTATGTCCGGGCGCCTCGTCCGGCTCCTTCGTGATGCGACTGTCAGGTGAGAGAAAGATACGAGCTCCGTGAAAATTGTGGTGAAATCATTCAGAGAATGCCTTTCCGCAGTATGTAATTACCGGCCTGCATGGGTGAATTAAAATCATGCCAGAAAAAAGCAAACTCCTTCCCTGACTAACCTGGAATAATGAGCCCATTATGCCAAGCATCGACACATAAAATGGAAAGGTTCCACCTCGACGCTTGAAGGATGGAGAATACAGGGTCGTTCAAAACATTTGCCTCCTCGTTCGAATGTACATGGGAACCTTCACTTTCGGCTTCCGACAGGAACTTGCTTACCCACTTTTGTTTACCCACTTCATATCGAGTGTTGCCTCAACGGAGTCAGTGAGGTAAGCATCCAGCTGGGACAGAAAAAGGAGTGGGGTCGGTCAACCTCTCTTTCTCCAATCAGAGCTGCATTCAATTGTTGTTCGTAGTAATAATCTTGAACGCTATGAAAGGAGTCTCAAGCTACTAAGCCCCGCCAGTTGGTTGCTAAAATTGAAGGTTTCCGTGTTGAATTAAATGAACCTTCATATGGGCAAGCGGATTCTCCATGGCTGTCAACACTGTACAGGGGGGGGGGGGGGGTTGGTATGGTTTTGAACTACCCTGTACAGGCCCAGGAAATTCATTTCCTGTCAGGAATAAGTCCGAGGAGCAGATATATACTTGTCTTTCAGACAGGAATTTCCTCCTTTCGGCCGAAATGACACGAGAAATTAAGAGAGCTAGGGGGCGACCTCAATCTCTCCCTCGAGCATTTTCCCATTTTTTTTTTACAACGTCTTGGTTCCTGTGCTTCGTACAGATTTAAAATCTCGCCTCTAACTCGCCTGCAGATGCTTTTTATCGCGTAATAAACTAATAAAATCATTAAGCGAGGGGTAACGATGGCGCAATTCATCCTTACAACCCTGCTTATTCCAGATGCAACACTGCGCCTCAACATCTAACAACATAATGAATTTTACTCAGTGCTTTCCGCTTGAAGAGATTTGGGAGAGTCTGTTTGTCGAGAGAGAGAGAAATTATTTCAGAACTTTCTGGCCATCGTAGGCAAGAGACTCGTTTGCAGGAGACGTATGTGCGACATTTATATTGTCCAGTGTCACATTGAAGATTCGGAGGCTGTTTTGGCGCCTGGGCATCTTCGTTCCCCTTCGAGTTTCATCGTAAACCTTCGACTTTAGGTGGCAGGAGATGCAAAGTAAAAAATGACCTTTGCCTTTCGGTCGAGGTCGGTCGCGAGGAGTTCAACGACTGACTGTAGAAGGTCAAAAGGACTGTCAACATTATATGCCTTTTGGTAACTCTTTTGAAGTACCTGTTAAGGACCACACGTGCCTGAACGACCGGTTTCTTCATTGGGACTGCTGGAGAATTTTTACCTCTCGGTGTCTGCATGTCTTCCAGCCCCTACGACGCCACATAACCTATTTTCACTATGACAAAATTCAAATCACGAATCTTGAGTGCAACAAAAATCTGTTCGATGAGCCAAAGAAAATTCCGAAATGCGACATATGCTGGATCTACTCTGTCTCCTCTGGGCCGATGATCACGATCGCAGAAAATCGCGAATGGCAAAAAGCTACTCTAGCTTGATTACTAGTCCCTCACAGTCTTAGTATTATTACTATTAGTAGTTTCCAAGAGTCTAGAATATGAAGGATTCTGTTCCCAACCGGAGGAAACACAGCATTGAAAGCCAGTGCCCCAGAAGGATTTTTGAAAACACAGCGTCGAAACAGATTTTCCGATACTTAACGATTTATGGAGTGATAGGAGCCGGGGCGTCTCCTAGAATTCCTTTCGGAAAACACGCGCGAGGAATGTCGGTGCGGAGTGTTTGCCACTCGGACGAGGGACTCTCGAGTTGCTCCTCTGCTCTTGCCTCTCGATGATGGACTCGCAGCCTTGACATTCACTTTCGAGTCGGAGTGAGTCGAGGAGGAGAGATGGATCGGCTCCTTCGGACGGGCGTGAAAACTTGGATAATGTCCAGGAGAGACATCTAGTGAGGGTTGGGTGAACGACAGACTATGCAATAGAAAATTCCTCTCCTTTCGGGTTAATCGTAGGACAGCAGGGCAAGGCCTGTGCTGAATCAATAGACTCATGCGATTGGGACATCAGAAGTTTTTTTTAATTATTAAAATAAGAATGCGTTGATTAGATGAAAGGATCTTGGCAAGGTGTGAAGGCCATTGGACTATAGCAGAAATCCTTCAGTACAAAACACAGCGTGAACCTTGTGGGATCTCCGCCTCAAAAGGAAGGAAACAAAAAGCCACCGATGGAAATTGGCAATGAAAATTGACAATGAAAATTACACTCTTCCATCCTCCAGAAGCGATCCACACTTTTTCCTCGTCTTCGTGGGCGAATCGCGGGCCTCGAGTTTTGTTTCTCTGCTTTTGGGTCAGCTCCCTTCTGACTTCGCTTTGCACCGAAGGACTTCGTACTTGAAGTGTGTATGCCTTTCCGTGCTTTCGCTCTCTGTTACCCAGAATCTTGCATTTAATCCATGTTGGACTGAGGAGTCTGCTCCTAACACGCCTCCGCATCGCTTCCTTGCTCGACTCAAGGCGACACTTAGCGACGTACACTACTCCAAATGACATGAACATTAAGTAAAACACGGTGTGTTAAAGATCTCGACGGGAGCTCGGAATATACTAGACATGGAGTGGGTAGATTAGCACGAACGCAAATTATAGCAGTGAGAAGGTACATGGAAAAGGGGGTATTTTGCATTAGGATTCTTATCGCTTCTCATCACGATTCTTATTACGAGGCCTTATAATAGACGTGCTCACAGTTCCGGGCACTCGAGATGGAGAGAGCGGGCTTGATTCTTTCGCCGTTAATTCTTTCACTCGAGCTGAAGTGTTTTCTTATATGCCTCGGAGAAATTCCGATTATCAGAGCGGGTGATAATAAGTACTTTTCCAGTGGATAAGTGGATAATGAGCGCGCATCTTTGATGCCTTTCCTCTGCTTATCTCCCCTTGATCGTCCCCCATCCGCGATGACGTTGAAGTGTCCCTGAGGTCATGTGCGACCTCATTCTCATACTGAGTCTGAAAGGCAAAAAATTGCACGAGCGCAGATGGTCATTGGAGATTCGTGAAGAGGATCGAGCACAATTTGCGGAACCGAGATGTTTTTGCCCCGACATGTGGCCAATCGACACAGTCACAACACGCGAGAGAGATGATTCGCCTTGATCCCCCCTCCATTTCAGATGTTTTTTGTTGATGTTGGTGAAGTTGATGAAGGTGGAGGCAATTATGAGTGTATGAGAACTGCTGGGTATTTCCCGCCCTCGGCACCCGGCGTAAACGCCGCTCATTTGCAGACTGGAATTTTTTTGTTAATGGACGAACGTGGTAGCCATGAAGGAGAGGCAAAGAAGGCAGAAGTGAGGGGGAAGAATGGACTCACGACGCCTCGTGGGTCACTCATTAAATCATCCGCGGATCTCAGCTGGTGAGATCCCCTCAAGGAATGGCAGCTCGCGCCTCAACGAAGATCTTTGTCTTTACAAGGTTTACTTCTTTCTTTTCTTGCTCCTGTTTCGCCTGCTTAAAATGAAAAAAAATTTTCAATTATTTTTACGTTTATTGATTTATAGAAATTACGGCTTCCTGAAACCGTCATGAAACCAATTCACTTCATGGGAAAAAAAAAGGTAAATAATGCAAAAACGTTGGGAGCGATCTCGGCTGGAAGTGAAGCCTTGAATTTCATTCTGCGTAGTGATGTGGAACCCCATCTCACAAGCACGTCCCAAGGAAGGCTTCAGCGCTGAACGGTCGAAATAAAAGGTGTGGGCTCGAAGAAATACAAGCATAAAGTGACATCTAGCACGTGAGTACGATACTGACATTGCCCTGCACTCAAGGGAGATGTAGGGTACTTCGGACAAACAAGGAACGTTGCGAGGGAACCATGGCGACGACCATCATGCCAGGGTCAGGTCTCAGCTGTAGTGTGTGTGTGACGCGGAACTCAGAGCAACGCGGAAGTAGGCCTAGGACTGGGCTTCGTTCCGTCCTTGGGAGACCTGGATATCCTTCATGTGTGATTACAGATATCGATACCATTCTTCCAGCGGTGGAGGCTAGGCTCTATAGCTCGTTTTATCATCGGTCATGCTTTCATTGAAGAAGTTTGGGTATGTTTGACGTCGATCGTCCTGACGTCATGCTCAAATGTGCCTGCCTGTCCGTTAGTTCTAAGCCTTAGCTAAAAAATCTTACCTTTTGGCTATGGTTGACCGTTCCTCAGCCTTGCTGCATGTCTAATGTCAGAGCCTAAGACAGATTCCTCAAGTACAACTGATGTTTATTTACGTTTCCTGAGCTTGGGCTATCAATTAGCCTAGTGTTGCAGACTTTCACCAGGTTTAGTTCTTTTTTTTTGGCAAGGTCTTTCAGGGGAACCTTCTAGGTTCAGAAATTGTCATCAAACCAGGCCTGCACATGGTAATTTCTGGTCCTGTATTCATGTCAAGCCAATCCTGAATCACTGGGCCTCCAAATTAGCTATGGGACCTGGTAGAGAAAAGGGTTAACAGTGGGACAAGTATTGTGAGCCCATGGCGATTTGCAGTGAGGTCCAAGTCATTATCTTTTGGGTTAATTCCTAATGTTACATATGATATGGTTAAGAACAATGAAAAGTATAGGCTATGATAATTCTAATGATCACATTAAGTCATATCAATTTTTTTTCTCCCAATCATTAGTTCTTGTTGTCACAAACAAACTCCTGGTGTAGGTTGGAAAACATGGATGTGCAAAGTATAGGGGATCTAGGGAGTAACATAGTAGAGGGACAGTTCGATGATGCAGACTTGGTGACTCGGCTCTCCGATCCCATCCAAAATGTTAGCATAAGGGAGGTTAGCAATGAAAGGTCCAGTTCTGATTCAGAATCTTACGATGAGGAAGATGCATACGAGGAAGGAGTTGACTGGATTGATCCTGATGAAGCGAGCAAGGGACATTGGACTGGAAGTCAAGGACCAAATCATCAAAAAATTAGTGAAAAACTCTCCCATTACCAACCAGCTGGCACATTGTTCTCCAAGTATCTGCATCAAATCAAGGTAGAAAAGTATGAGGGCCCCACCTTGGAAGGATTGGCTGGGAACTACTTGGCATCAGAGAATAAGAAGATGGAAGCAAATCGTTATAGGGTTCGTGACAAGGAACAACGAGCCACAGTTGAGCAGGTGATGGACCCTCGAACCAGAATGATTGTGTTCAAGCTTCTCAATCAAGGTGTCATCACATCAATTAATGGATGCATTTCAACTGGAAAGGAGGCTAATGTGTACCATGCCACTTCTATGAATGGAGACCTGGCTATAAAGATCTACAAGACATCCATACTGGTCTTCAAAGATAGAGATAAATATGTCACTGGAGAATTTCGCTTTCGGCATGGTTACTGTCGACACAATCCAAGGAAGTTGGTGCGCACATGGGCTGAGAAAGAAATGCGAAATTTGAGTCGTCTGCATCAGGCAGGAATCCCTTGTCCGAAGCCTGTAGTACTGAGAAGTCATGTGCTAGTCATGCATTTCATTGGAGAAAATGGTTGGCCAGCTCCACTCCTGAAGGATGTTAAGATTTCTGAATCCAAAGCTCGTGAACTATATTTGGACTGTGTAAAGATTATGCGAAACCTGTATCATCAATGTAAGCTTGTACATGCTGACCTGAGTGAGTTCAACCTTCTATACCATGAAGGAAAAGCTTATGTGATTGATGTATCTCAGTCAGTGGAACATGAGCATCCCCATGCACTTGAGTTTCTCAGGAAGGACTGCACTAATATTACTGCCTTCTTTCAGAAGAAAGGTGTCTGTACTATGCGTGTTCGAGAGCTCTTTGATTTCATAACGGATCCCAACTTGGGAGCAGAGGGTAGAGAAAGTACAGAAGCATACTTGGAGAGGATGGAAACATTGGCCCTTGAGCGTGCCTCTCAGGGACATTATGATCCAATGGAAGACATTGAGGAAGAAGTCTTCAAGAAAACCTTCATTCCTAAGAGCCTTGATGAAGTAACACACGTTGAAAATGACATCATGCAACTTCGGGCTGGAGAAGCACAAGACTTATATTACCAAACTGTAGTAGGAATGAAGGGAGGAGACACAAATGAGGATGATGGTGAGTCATCTGGATCTGAAAGCTCTTGTTCTCAGATGTCTGGTGAATCAAGCAAGGATGATTCCCAAGGTGAAGACAAGAACATAAAACAGGTCTCTAGTGCACGACCTAGAGATGAATCTCCAAACAGTAAGAAGGAGAGGAAAAATGCAGTGAAGGAAGCCAAAAGAGAGAAGAGGAAGGAAAAGATGAAAAAGCATTTAAAGAAGAGGTTGGAAAAGGTGGGCAAAAAGAATGCAAAAAAGAAGTGATTGTATATATTTAGGTCACTTTTGTTATTGGAGCTTTGATCGATGGAGAGACATTGAAATGAGCATTGGCATATTTTCATGTTTCCTGAGACTGAGCTTAATGGATTTTTTGCAGATATGCATTCCATATTTATCATTTGCGGCCTTCATTGGGGTATCCCAGGCCAGGGATATATTGTTCCTGTGCCAAGGCATGATTGTCAGATTTCTTGCATAGTAAGATATAATCAAAACATAATATGTACGAGATTTGTCAGTTGTGGCAAGTTCTGTTGCTAAAGCAGTGCTTTTGTAATGCTCATTCATGAAAATTGTTGTTTGATATGATACATTCAGGTAATCTTTCAATTAATTTTGTTCCTACTATTTCACAGAGGATGTGAATGATTCACAGTTGGAGGACATAGAAATATTACTGCCTTTCAAAGTATCCTTATTTTTTTTTAATATTTTCTATTTCGCCTCAGTTCATTTTAGAATGGAAGGCTTCCTTAACTAGTGAAACTAGCAAGATAAGTGGCCATTTTGCTCCATTCATATAAATAGTATATCCTATTGTGATGTTTAGTTTCTCCATGGCAAATTTTTTCTTGATCTACCTTTGTCTTAAATATTGTATTATCAGATCAATGAGCTACACTTGCCTTGTATAAAGAGAATTGGCTTTGGCTGGGTATTTCAGTTATCCCTGGGCCTCCTTGACCCTCTTAGTCCCATAGGGCCAAAATTTCAGTTGCAAAATTTTCTTGCATCTGGTTCTTTATAGGGCTGACAGAAGGTAGTGCTGGGCATAACACTAGAGTGTGGTAGACCTCTACTTAAACACATGTGCCACTTATTGCACATACCTTACAAGAAAGTGTGGAACTGAGAGGGTTAAGATTGTGCCAAGTTCATGAGGCACTTGAAGCATTTTTGCTTACTTCAGATAAGTATATCATGAGCCACAAGTTTAGCTGTTTGTTGCTTGTATTCTGGGATTGCTATAGAACCTGACTCTCTTCAGACATTTTGATGATTAATTTGAAAATCTCATTCCCAGGAAAGGCATCAGTTGACACAAAGTTATTGTGGATTTCCTAGTCCAAAAATTAGTTGTGCAAGGATTGATGCGAGTCAAAAGCAGCCATGATCTTGGGAAGGAAAAGTAATTGATGGGCTACAAGGACAAGCTTTTTCTTCATTTTGGAAGTCATGGCAACACTTCCAGAAGCTGTGAATCTGAAGTATGGCCCCCCGACAATCGACTCGGTTGAACAAAACTGTCGGGTTGAGATCTTTGTTCCTCTGAAGTATAGCTCCATCCCTCGACCTTCATCAGTCCTCATTCTCAATTCTTGCAACATTGAGAAGGCTGGAAATGATTCAGAGATTGATGAAGTCTGCCGGGAGATCAAGGAACTCGATCTGGCTGAGAACAAGTTGGTTGACTGGACAGAGGTAAGTCTTAGTTGAACTGGTAATGCTTCAAGACTAGAATTGAGTTCCTTGAAACACATGGAGTTTTCTTTGGCAGATCTTGAAGATCCTTAACCATGCCCAATGTCTAACATTTCTCAACTTGAGCTACAATGATTTAAGCCGGGAAATCCCGTCCAATCTAGTGCCTCGACTTCAATTGCTCAGTAAATTGGTCCTCATAGGAACCAATATCAACTGGCCAAATGTTCACACTCTTCTCACTGGACTTGCCTTTCAAAAGTGAGTGACTTTCTTTATGACATACTTAGCCTACTGTCTTGAGCAGTGGTATAACTAGTACTTTTAAGGTAGATATTTGATGATTATGTATCTTTTTAACAGCCTGGAAGAACTCCACTTGAGCTTAAATAACCTGTCAGAGGTACAAGATGCTGGTCAGAGATACCCCACTATCCGCATAGTTCACTTCAATGGGAATCCAGTGTCCAACCCTAAAGATATCCACCTTCTGGGGAAGATGTTTCCTGGCTTGCAAAGCCTGGTCCTGGCAGACTGTCCAGTTAGAGGACTTGGAGATGATGAAGAGTTTCGATCCTGTTTTCCAGTATTGGAAAAACTGAACCTCAACAATAGTATGATTCCATCCTGGGAGGAAATAGAAAAACTCCGTGGCCTTCCATCTCTTGTTGACTTTCGCATGGTGAACTGTCCTGCATTTGAGGTAGAGAGATTGCTTCTCTCATGAAAAAGCTTCATTATATGAATTTATCCATATTGCAATATGCTACTCAGGAATACACTGAACACGAGAGAAGGCAGGAGATGATAGCTCGGCTGGATAATGTTCACCGGCTCAATGGTGGAGCTGTCAGTCGACTAGAGAGAGAGGATGCTGAGCGGGCCTTCATCAGAGCTCACCTTGGCAAAGAAGAACATCTCCTCCCTCCAAGGTTTTATGTCACTGATAGTCTGTGGGAGGGGAATATGTATATATTTTTATGCCTAACACCTGCAGGAAAACCACACATACCCTGAAATTTCTATTTTCTGAGAGGCCTAAAAATATATGTGTATATATGAGTCAGCCTCACTTAAAAATTATCAGTTTGTTAGCTGTCTTTTGCTGTTTCTCTACAATCTACATCCAAAAGATGCTTCTAATCTAAAGCTTCACCTTGTGAAGCTTTAGATTAAAAACAAGTATTTTCTTCTTTTTTTTTCTCCACCTCTGAACCTACCACTTATAAACTAGTTGGTACTAGGCAAGGTCATGCTTTGCAGCCTAAAAATTGCATGCAAAACTCAGTAAGAGTATCAAATTTATCTAAATCTTGTTTTCTGAAAATTTTAGGAAAAGGAGGATCTGAAAAGTGCCATTTCCCTGGATTTCTTCAGTTATGCATGGTTTTATTACAGTCAATACTAATGGAGGATCCTGATGCTTTCTATTTTGCCTTAAAGAAAGCTTCAGGTATGCAAGACCTTTTTTCATTTATGTTATAGAGAATAAAGAAATGATAGAGATAAAATGTAAATGAATTATGTTTCCCCGGTTGGCATCCAAAGCTCTTTGTAGTGGAATTACTTAATGGCATGATTTAGATTTTATTGTGATATCGTGACTTCAGGAGTTTATAACATCAGTATTACAGTCTGCTGCCAACCCTTGATATAATGTGAACTTTTGGTTATTGCTAATTTTGGTGGCATAATGAGGGTGGCACTACTTAGAGTTCCCTATGTACTAGGGATGCATCGATACAGATCCAAATTATCGGTATCGGCCGATCCGATCCGATTCTCCCGTGCCGCACGCCGTACTTGATGCACAGCGCGTAAATTTTTGGAACGTCTCGTGAAAAAAAAACACTCGTAATGGCATTCGGTTCCTTATGTCCGTCATAGTTCTTTTTAATCTCCCACTGATAGACAATAAGCTTGAGCATGGTTAAAGCGGAATGTAAAAGATTTGAGAAGGGCATGTACGAATGGAATGGGCCAGTGTCATTCACGTACGCATTCATTCCTTCACTTTCCCCCCTTCCGTCCCGTCTCCTGCCTTCCTGCGCTGACTGGTTTGCGCAGGTGCACTTAGTGCTCACGTCCATCCCGCCTCCGGCTCTCCCCTCGAGCACCGATCCCGATTATGCAGTAGTTGCATCAACTCCTTAACACGTTGGCGACAATGCGTCCTGATGCCAGGATGCAGATTTTTTTTCAATGAATTGGAACTGTTGAGAACGTTCCAGAAATTTCTGGGACCATGCGTACTGATGGCAGGACGCATTTTTTGACAAAAAAAAAGCGCGTGGTCCCACGCGGCGGACAAGCAAAAATAGGCTGGTCGTCAACGTGTTAATCCCTTAAGGACATTAGATGTAGTTTCTGCCTCTACACCTCTTCGCACCGATCGTCCTTTGTACGTAGGACTTACGTCCGACGTATTCTCGGCGGGGGAAGTTTTGGCCTATACTCAAAAAGCTAATATATTACCGACGTAAATGTCTTCAAAGCTAAATAAATGACAGGAACTTCGAATGTTGGGTCATTATGTCCGAGGTTTTTTTATTTCTTCCTTTCTATGCCAAAGGTAGCATAAGGCCTACTAAGGTCTGGTCCTGTATTGTGGTTTCATTTCTGACAGCCACTGGGAGCTATCTGTATCGGTATCGGTTAATCCTGGATCGGTGCATTCCTACAATATACCGTATTAGCTAATGGTGAAAATTATCCTCAGGAAAATTTTGGCAATAAGTGACTGTTATCACTTGTTGCCAATATCTTCCTGTGGATAACATATACTCATTGTTGCTATAATGATAGTTGACTGTTATTGAGTCTGGAGCACTGTTGTAATGCATGTTAGGTTGCAAAATGAATCCCCATAGCTTTTGTTTACTTAAAACAAGGTGCTCATCAGTCATCTAAGCATGCAAGGGTATCTGCCTGACACTGTTTTTGTCTTCTCTTGGCACTTTTCCCTTACAGGTTATTCTTGATAATATTTGGCTCCCTCTTCTGCCTGACCCAGTTTCCTCACTGTCCAATCACATATTATTGCTGGATCTGCAACAATAGGATTGGCTGTCTCTGCCTTTGTAAGGGAAGGGAGTAGCAGAGTTAACAGGAGAGCAGAGTCTCACTCCGGTCCTCGATAAACATAAAAAGAATGATTTACATTTCTGTAAAAGGTACAGAAACTAATGATCTGTTGTTGGTGTGAGTATAGGGCTTCATTACAAATTCTTACTTATATACTCATTTATCATCTGCTTTTCTCAATCATAAAATGTTACTCATGTATTGAATATTTCAATTATTTTTTTGTAATGAGATGATGAATTGGCAGGTTGCATGCATAATGTCTTTCCCCCTCTCTTTGATGAGCAGCTGAAACAATACCAAGTATTCTCATTAGTAATAAGTGTAAACTTTCCTTTTCATGGATTTTGTAAAAATTGGATGAATGGTCAAAGGGGAGTCATGTAAATCTAAAAAAATTTCAATTAAACATATCTTTAAAAGATTTGTTTCACATATTCAAACACATTGATGTTTGAATGGCAATTTTGAAATGTGAGAATTTCTTATTTTCAGTGGATGCTTATTGGGAAAATCAGTTGGAGTAATGAGTAATTCTTCTAGAATTTTCCATCCTGCTTATCTAATTGCAATTTTAATTGTAATTCTGCCAGAAATTTCGCAAAATGCTCCACTGGGTGAAGCCACTTTGAAAATCTGCCTATGCTAATGGTCTACTGCCAGTGGGAGATTGTTATTCCCCAAATGCATGCTTTCCTTTTTTCATATTCAGAAGGGCATTTGAAATCATACCAAGCATCTTCATTGCTGGTAATTTCATCAACTCTGCACCTATATGTTTTCCTGACCATGCTATACTGAGAGTACTAAGTGGCCCTCATATGTACAGTGCAGCATTCAAATCAAAGAGAACACTTGAAGACTCAGGGATGAGAATTAGGATGCTAGATGGGATGGCTGCCAATCCCTATAAATCAGCTGAACAGAGAAACCCTGTGACTGGGGAAAGATCCTGATTGCCTGCAAATGCTGATCATATGCTAAGTGATAGGATTGAATGGTAAATTAAGTCACAGAGTGGTGTTTCATTGAAAGGAATCAAAAAACCTCACCCCCCAAATAATTTCTGGATCAGATTTTTTATGTCTAAACATGAATCCAGAAAGACAGTAGTGGTGGTTTTGGAGTAGTGATGGGAGAATAGGAGAGGAGGTGTATTATGCGAACTGAGTAGAAAATAGATCGTTCTCCAGTCATCCCTTCTGTTCAACCATACAAAACCATATTGTTGCTATGAAGCCAGAAACACCAAAGTTGAAATGTTTGATTTTTGAGTTGAGCACACCTTTACACTTGCCAAGCTATGATCTTTTCAATGTCAATATTGCCAATTTGCCTCAGATAATTTTTTTTTACAAAGCCTCCTGTAAACTCTGTATGGCTCTCCTGCACAACAAAGGAAATGCACTTTGCTGACTGGCATTGTAGTGATAATGTGTGCAAATTAAAAATTTGTATTTAAGAAGTTCTTTTTTATATGAACATCACCAAAACTAACTCAGCCTGTATCTTGCCAGTATATTTCCTTGCTCTAAGTTGCACAGTGATCAAGGTTAGTTGTCACTGAACAATGAACAGATATAATGGGACAATAATTGGCTTATTTCTCATTTGGAAAGGAGGCCCATAAAGAATTCAACAAAAAATTGTATTCAAAGCTTTTTCTTTTTGCCTGTAGGCATAGTACAATATATATGTTCTAATTTCATTCTTCATGCCTCTAAATATTTCAAATGTAGTGATTTTCAAACTCTATTGACTCAACTGCTTAAGTGAGAGCCCAGCTGAAACATTTGAAATTATTTAGAATAACTTTTTGGAGTGTTTGATATTATCTCATGTTTAATATGTTCATAATATATCATAGTGTTATTTCTGCTATATAGGTATCATGAATTGGTGGTCATTCATGGACAGTTGAACCCGTTGGCTGAAGTGGATTTGAGTCCGAAGACTGAAGTCACTGTGAACATCTCCCATGAACGAGGAAGCACAATGCAAACAATCTCTGTCTACATCACTGTCCTTGAACTCAAGCAGCTAGTGGAAAAAGTGACTGGAATTCCTGTGATGCGACAGAGAGTATTTTATGTTGACCAGGATATGGTCAATGCTCATGGACCAGAGGAAATGAGGTTCCATCAAAAGAAGCTCTATCGCTACAATGTTGAGAGTGGGGATTCCTTCATCATTCAAGATAAAAAGTCTTGTTAATCCAGCCCAACCTGCACATAAGACTACAGGAATATGTGGAAGATGAGGTTCATTGATAAACAGTCTTTCACATCATTGCAAAACTGCCTTGGCAGATGTCTTGCATTGTTTTAATGCTTTGTGAAGAAGACATATTCATAGGTTGTTGTTTGTACTGAAGTTTGGTAGTACTAGTGTTTCCCTGTCAAGGAATCCTCCAGGAGGAATAGTACCACTGTTCCCTGATGTATAAGGCTCTGCCTCCAAATTATCTATTGTGATAAAGCATTAATGCCTATGGCAATTGATTGGTCTTGCCAATGCTATAAAATGCGAAGGCATAGTGAAAGAAAGCAAGGTGCTCAACGGTTTGAAATTATAGGCCCTGTCTCAAGAGAAACCACTTGGTTTTTTTATGTCGCTGAGTACAATATGCCAAGAAACATCATATTGCATCACTAATTTGATCATTTTTGCCTGCTTGTGGCCCCATATCTCATTTTATTCTTCCCAGATAGTATAAAGTCAGGCCTCCATGGATGAAAATTCTAGTATATTTATTTTTGGCAGCTGCTGACCACTACTTGTTTTTGCATTGTTGTCAAAGGATGTGACGAATGTCTAGTTTATGACCCTGTAATTACGAACTTGTCATTGAAGTACAAGAGTGAGATTTAAAACGTCTCAGGGTGGTCTTCTCATGTACAGTCTGCCTAGAGGATGAATTGTCTTCTGAAAAGAGCTCAACAGAGATTCTGATACTTGCAGTTTTTACCAGCAGCCGTCTGCAGCAAAATCACTGACCAAGCATATTTTCCGATTGGGGAGTGTTCATAGATTGTGTTGTGACTTGTGAGTCTGATTGTTTCCATCCCGGTCATAGAACCGGTACTTTACACATTTCATTTCTTGGAGATTAGGTCTGATATTCATTTTAGATGCAAACAGTAGGCCCTACAGTGATCAACTATAAGGTGTCTTTGATTTCTGTCCGGTTGAAAATGTCCAAAGAGTGAATGGCTTGAATATTGCCTTCTGGTCATGCTTTTCTCAAATGAAAATGTCACAGTGATTCAATAAAAGGTGTCACATTTTCATATTTGTGCTTTTTGTTTGGTATCTCCCTGGCTCAAAGTGAATGCAATATTTCCCATCAGAAATAGGCAAGGTGTGACTGCATTTCACTGGAATTTATTTGCACATGAGCATTCCTTAGGGGATGTTGATGACGTTGAAGAATCAGTCATAGCCACCATGGAGAGATCATGGTACGGGAAAGAACCTTTGAACTCGGCACCATGTGAGGTCAGGAAGGCTGGCACTGTGCAATGGCTGGCCAGCCCTCCAAATTACTCTCTATCACAGTCTTTATGACAACATGAAACTCTTCGTCTTGTGTTGCCTCCTCCAAGTGGAACACTATACGATTGGCACAATCAGGAATCAAGGTCTCGTTCAAGTTCCTCCAGGCTTCGGTCTGATGGTGGAAGGCCATGAGTGTGACCTCGGTGTGACATTCACTGAGGTCTTCTCTCATCATGTTAACATTTTTGGGGAGGGTCCAATTCACACGGATCATGTCCCCTTCTGCCAAACACTTAATGTTGGTCACAGGGCCAGGTAAGATGGGCCTTACTGAGTCCCACAAGTCGTTACCTTTCTCCGTCTGATTCTCATATTCTCTTTGCAGCTGAAGGCCTCGATTGACGAGACTGGAGAACTCCTCCAAATCCACAGTGGTGTCTTGATAAAGCCGATAGACCAGCCTTGGGTGGTCACAACAGGGTACCCTTGGCACTGTCTTGGCCTCTTCTATCTCCCTCTGGTATTCCTCTGGCAGGTGGCGTATTCCACCCTTGTCCGGCAGATTCTCGGGATGAGGCACTGTTAGAGCCTCGTGGGGGTTGGTCCATGTCAGGTGGATCAGGTCTCGACCTTTCAACGAAGAAAGGCTTTGGAACGGTTTGATGTTCTCCGGGTTGAGTCCAAAAGGGAAGAGCTCGAGAACGATGGAACCAGGGTGAAGGAAAAGAGTCAAGATGAATAATGCTCCATGGATCCCCGTCACAAGTCGTGCGTTTCTTACGGCGCAGATGATTTCTGCCAAGCTGTGCTCCTCCATGCTCATCAACTTAACCATTCTCTCATCGGGTAGGTCCTTGTATTGTGGAAATCTGTGGCGTAGAATGGTAAGCAGGTAAGCTACCATCTTTTCCTCGTTTAAAATCTTCCTGTTCTCTTTTCTGGAGAATACGACAGCAAGGGTGGAGTTGTCGGGATTGCATACGCCTGCCTTGCACAATAGTTTCGCATGGTTTTCTTTGCAGAGCCTTTCCTCCACGAAGGCTGCGAATTTGCGCACCTCGAACCCCGTGATGTTGATTTTGTCCTTGGGACCCTCGTATTCTTCACTCACGCCCACATCGTACCAGAGGCTGTGTTTCGACAACCCAGCGTACGCCTCCCGGAAACACACCAGGGCGTTGTCGTTCGCGGTCGTGACGTTGAGCACGTGGTTCCTGAACGCGTGGTTCCGAGTCGAGTAGAGCCGGTATAGGTCGAAATGCGGACCCTCGGGATTCACGTCCACGTACATCATCATCATTTGCTTCACGCAGCGTTCCACGTTCCCAGCGCAGATGTCCAACAACGTGAAGTACATGGGAAGGAGGTCATCGTGGAATGTACAATACAAGTTGAAGGGAAGCATCCTAAAGAGGATGAGAGTGGGGTCGTCCACGATCTCCACGTGACCGAACTGGTGGAAGACGGACTGAAGACTCGCCGGTAGGGTCTGATATCGGAAAGTGAGCTTCATGTGCCCCGGTGTGCTTCCCAGGTCCAGCAGCTTCAGAGTATCCTCGGGCTCATCCCTCGGAACGTTGACGAAAGTGGACGTCCTCCCGACGAAGAAGAGAAACTTGGGAGCCGTCATGTTCCCCCACCTCCTCGTCTCCATGCAGATGTTCCTGAAGGCACACCGCCGATTCTCCTGCGAGTCCCCTTCGCACCAGACCGACGTGGCGAAGTCCTCTGCCCCCTCCGCCGTGGCGGCTGAGGACGGAGAGATGATCGGGCTCCCCTCGAGAGCGGGCCTCTCAGCTGCACTCTTGATCGCCTCCTCGCTGTCACCTTCGTCGGGGTTCCCGAACGTCACCGTCATGTGGGACGGACTCAATCCGTCTGATATTGCTATCTACAGATTTTATTGTAGAATATTTTTTAGGGCGCAGGAGGCTCACGGCCCATATCGGGCTCTATTCTCGACGTGCAGCGCAACACTAAACATTGTACAAGCCACTATCTAACAAGCATTCCAATCGTTTATGCAATACATTTGCGAAGGGTGAAGGACGGAAGGTTCCCCATTCGCAATGGCCATATATCTAACTGCTCCCCATGTATAACAAAGTCTGTTTTTACTTGATTTTTTTTTTTAACAGAGGAATTATGGAATGGAGAAAACGTGAGAGGAAAGAGAAATTCCCTGTCAATGCCGTACATACCTGTTGGGCCAGGAGATTCCTCGAAGAGATGAAGATGCCCATCGGGTTCCATTGCTGCAGGAACAAGGAGAAAAGGAAGCCGGCCAAGGTGAGGAAGAAGCAGTCCAACCTCGTGACTCCACTCCGTTGCTGCTTCTGCTCTCCCATCGCCTTTCTCGACTACAGAGAAAGAGCATTTGCAATATTTTGTCAGTCCTTGGACTCCTTTGCCGGGATTTCACGTGTCCCTGATTTCGGACAACTTCCAAGATTTATTTTTGTTCGAAACACACCGTTAAAAAAAGACAACTAACAAAACAGCGGAGGATTTGCAGCGGGAAGGACAGACCGTCCATCTTCCCTTAATTGCCCTGTCCAAACTCCCGCAGGAGTCCTCATATGCAGTAAACTGAATCGAAGGAAACGAAGAGACCTTTCCTACGATGTAGCACTCCCGTGATCGCAGCACGAAATTTTAGGCAATGGACAGGAAACGAAAGAGCTATTTGCACTCGAGAAGCTCAGAAAAGCACTTTTTTTTTAAAATGGGATTTTAATTATTATTATTATTGATTATTCCAAATCTGGTTCAACTGCTAAAAGTTACTCAGGAGGATTTTCGAAAGAATTATCACAACCAGTATTTAAAAACGACGGCATGGAAAACGATGCCCACCGTTTACGCAGTCACGAAATACACGCCAACGTGTGGAGCACGTGGTTCCCGACTCACCAGGCGGAGTCCCGGAAAGGGCGATCGATGAAAGACGGAAAAAAGGCGAAAACCCTAGCAGTCCATTCACAGGGAGCAGTCCGAGACAAGTACGCGGATTCCGGCCAAGAAGAAAGCCACGACTCAGGTGTTGTGAGCCTGATGCTGTGATAGGAAGAAGAGGACGGGGTTCATCGCCCTTTCAGCCCCACGGACGGCCCCGTTGCATTAACCGCTCACCTTCAGAGGTCGGCTTGTTTTTCTTCTCCCCCTCCTTATTTTATTTATTTTATTTTTTATTTTTTGGTGGAATCTCTCGGCAGGATTGAAAATAATGTCTTCACTTATGATGTTTACACATCTCATCTCGAAGCCGAAATGCTTTGAATTTTCCGTCACTGGATCTGCGAAGCTGATTATAGCCGAAGAATGAAGGTGTTCAGCTTTCAACAAACCGGTTTCACTTTTTTTTTTTCGGAAAGTGACGCAGTAGAGACCTTCACGGGCTAGTATATTCTTCATTATTAGGCTCAGTTTGGAAAGGCATGTGCGAAAACAGCCTCTCTTTCGAAAACCACCCCATCTCGATAACATCACCCACTGGAAGAGGTAAAAACAAATTATGCAAAAATATAGAAGATACACATTTTGAACGGAGAACGTCCAGGATTCCATTCTACCGAGATACCATTTGCACCTACCAGTTGTGAGCTGATACCGCTCTAGCGGCTTGACGTCTCTAGTGGACTGATAGGTATAGTAGGTATAAAAGAGGATCAGTTGTGCTGAGAGAATTTGAGGTGAATCATATGAGCTGCTATGCTCCATCCACCCGAGCAGTCGGACGCTCGAATTTTCGTGTGCAAGTGCTGCACCATAATTTAAATGGAAAAGGAACTGCATTAGAAATACACGCCTGGGCATGGATACGTTATCTGCAATGTCCCTGCGAGCATAGTTTACCCAAAATTTATAGAAAGATGACGGTAGTATATATACGGCATAGGATGTAGTGCTCATGTATATGCACGAACACAATTTCTCTATTAAAATTGTCACATTTCCTCGGGCGTTTCCTTGAGAATTTCTCTCGAGTCCATTCGCTGCGAAGTCACCATCAAAGTCAGCTTGAAGCAATGGAAACGCTTCTAAGTCGAATCGTCCTTAAAGCAACTCACTGTGGCCTTCTCTGCCATACGGCGTAAGGAGACGAAGTTAAGGGGGACCCATCTGTCATCTGATCCCTTCCTTCATCAGATGGAAATGTCATGTTCGGGTCGGAGACTTGAGCTGGAAATGCATGAGTTCGGTGGTGTCCTTTAAATAGTCCGATGAAAGTGAAAACGCAGACTACATTGCGAGAAATCCTCGGATGAACGGTCGTTCATTCAACGAACGAACGTTCATTGAGAAACTCAACGAGCCACGACCCGAGGTACTTGAACCCGGTCGGAATGGGTCGGGAGCGATGGAGTGCCATCCTCCGTATGAAGGGGAAGGGACGGGGGGGGGGGGGAGGTCCTCGGACTCGCGCATGCTTGGAATCGCGCGGCTTCTGACGGCTGCCCCAAGGGCTTTGCTTCATCGGGCCGTTTTGGAAGGATCTGTATGCTGCTGGCGTCCAAGGAGACTGCTCCACATGCTTTCGTGTTTAATGTGAAAATGAGAGTAAAAAGTGAGAGGAATTCCAAGACCGATCCGGTTTGAGTCCGATACTCTGAAATCGATCTCATTGACCTTCGAAGTAGAAATTTATTTCATGGCTCGAGTTGTCATTTACTTAACAGGATCCTTGAACGAGCGACCGGAGCAGCTTCGAAGGGCCTGCCGATTCGGTAGGCCCTTCGAAGCTGCTCCGTTTTTGCACGTTTCTACCACTATTGATTCAATAGTGGTAGAAAC